GGAAGACACTGCAGGAGTTTCCTGTCTTATGGATAAACTAGTGCTGTTTCAGAAGATTTCTTACCTTACTTCCTGGCCGTCAGGCTGACAATTAGGTTTATTTTGGAATTTAATGATCCCATTAAAGTAGAAATGAGACTATATACCAGTAGCAGCCAGTGGGCATGAAAGGGCACTGTTAGATGGAAACATGACAAATTGCAGTGATGGTTGGTATTGTTTTACTTCTGCCTTTTGTTTGCTTCAGTTTACCATGAGAAGAATAAGGCTATGAATTCTAGAGTTAACATGGATGTACAAATGTATATGTGCTGTGACAGTAATGGAAAATTAGTGCTTAGGACTCATTTCAAGAGAGATCCTGATCTAAGGAGTGTATCCAATTGCCAGCCTCTAGCTGCTGCTCTTTTGAGATCCAGAATCATTCAAGCTGGGAACACATTCACTAAACTGCTCCCTATCAATGAGAACTGTATAGACACTAAGGGCAGGTTCTTCTTTTATAACAGCAACTCCTCTAAAGATTAGCCCTGCTGCCACTGCCTCCCACCCCATTGTCTAAATTCAGACTCTCTGATCTACAACTCAAAGGAGGCTCTTTATACTAATCCTTCCTTTCTGTTTCCCTTTTTAGAAGTCCTGTGACTTATACTACAGTCTAAAGCACTCTACTGCTCCTCTATAATATTCCTGATTCATGTCTTTTAACCTACACACTTGTGTTTTTGAATACATATTTTGAACTTGGTTTTATATTTCAACTTTTGATTTCTTAAAGATTTGTTTTCAGATAAAACAGCTATGAGTGCATTCAATGTAGGGAGTGAACAGTAGCAGGCATTTAATAATTGTTTCAGAGAGAACTCAGCAGGTAAAGGTGCTTGCCACTAAGCCTGAAAACCTGAATTTGATACCTGTGGTGAACGGAAAGAATGTCTTCTATTTCCCCCCTCTCCCTCTCTCACACACACAGGCACATACACTCACACAATACACACAGACACACACCCTCATAACACACACACAATATAATAAAATTAAAGATATACATGAGGTAGTTTAGAAATATATTAGGATGTAATCAACAATTCATTTAGTGGACATTGGCTGACTAGTAATACTTTACTTAAACTTTTTCTTGTTCTCTATTCTCCCAAATACCATACCATTTTGCCTCTGCCTTTATAGACAATCACTTACTTTTTAATTTTAGTTTTTGTACAAATATCTGTGAATGCAAATATATATATATATATTTTACCCGGGGCCTTGGTCAAACACTTCACCCTTGAGCTCTATCACCAGCACTCTACAATTCTTTTTTTAAGAAATATAACTAACAAAGTATACACTTTCTTCTGCTTGATTTTTCACTCTATATTGGACATATTTGTACAACATTATAGGTCCTTTTATAATTTTATATTACCATAGCACACCATCATGTTCTAAAACTGTTATGTGTTCAACTAATTATTTATTGGTGGGTAATTGGATTCTTTCTAAATCTTACAATTTGTAATGATATAACAGAACATTTTTATGTGTGCTATTTTCACATGTGTGAAACTACAAGCATTTTAGAAAATAATACCTCTTTTAAAAGGTATCTGAAATCTAATCCTTTCTGAGAACAGATTGTTATCAAGATTAGAATGAAGGTGAACCCAAGCCCTTGCCACCTGAGGATCTGTGCACTGACATACTCATATATCTCATAAAGTACCTTCCCATTTCTGTAGCCCCAAGCCCCCAGAATCTGAGTGTTTCAATGTGGAGATTCCTCAGAAAAAAATCTAGAAACATATCTATTCTATATGCCCCCTTGTCACTCCATAGGAATTTATATCCTATTAGAGAGACACTTGCACATCCATATTTATAAAAACTGTATTCACAAGACCTAGAAAATAGGATCAGCCTAGATGTCCACCAACTCATAAATGTTTGATAAATATATGATACATATACACTGTGGAATGTATTCAGATACAAAGAAAAATTGTTAAATTTGAAGGTAAATGTATGGAGCTGGTAATAAATACTCTGAGTCAGGTAACCAAGACTCAGAAAGACAAATACCATATGGTTACATGTAATGAAAGAAAATAGCTTTAAAATTATACACATATATGTTCCAATTGGAGTACTCAGAGAGGTCAAGAAACTAGTAAGGTGTCATGGTATGGGATTTCAATGGAAAGTACATAAAATGCAGATGATATAAAAGGAATAGTGAAGCAAAGAGGGGTTAAAATGCAGCGGGGATAGGAAGGAAGGGGTAGAATAGAAGTAATGGGGAGGAATAATTAACACTGAACACCTTTGAAAAATCCATATAGAACCTGGCTTGAGGCATGGAGAAGGGGAGAAACACAACAGTTCAGTTAGTCCAAATATAAAGTATCCAGGTACCTTCTCTCCATTTTAGTTGCATTCTCACATATAGATTCTAGGCAAAGTTACTCAATTATGTTGACAAACAAGAAGAAAACAGGAACCAGAACTGTTTTCTACTATTCCTGGCCTCCAGAAAGGACATCCTTAGAACTTCTGCCCTATCTCATCAGTTTCCACTTTCTATTCTCATCAATAGGATTAAAGTCCCTTGCAAGTATCCTCTGACAGCATGATGTCTGAAGTTCTGTGAGTGAAGACAATGTGGAAATGCTAAGAATACAGAATGCCTACTGAGGAAAAGTTCAGGCATTAAGTATAACTCATTTAAGACAGAGGTTATGTGGGTGGTAATTAGTAAAGCCTCTGGATCACCGCTACCCAAATTCTCCTGCTTTACTTTCTTCTGGATGATGGACATGGAACATTATGATTTAATGTTTTTCCGGATAGCTTTAAATATTGCTTTGATCTAATCACTTTTTTTGCTCTTTTTCTTCATTTCCTTTTTCATTTTCTTCCCTTTAATATAAACAATAGATATAAAGGAACTACATTTTCAATCCCAATCTTTCTTCTCCCTCCCACCATGGTCTTGAGCAGATCCAGATGCAATAGACAGGCATTATATGGAAGCTGCTTTTTTTGTTCTTCTCCTTCTCTTTCTTCTACTTTTCATCTAAAAATTCGTTTATTTTATTTCTTTAAAATCATTTTGATTAATTTTCCCAGCCCTATCATAATCTGTCCCGCGCTACTGTCTCACCAGCAAGAACGACGCAGCACACTCAGGATCCTTCTGCAGTAAAGCTTTAATGCATCTTGAGAGGGAGAGCATAAGCTTACAGAGCGGAGACCCCAAACATCCAAAACCCAACCCTTATATAGGTTTACAACCTTCGCCTCGGACATGTCACCTCCTGACTGGCTGCAGCCCATCGGTCCATATGACGCCACGGGAGAGGCAGAGGCCAAGGGAGGGAAAATCACCCTGCACCTGCGCACTGACTTGTTTACTCTCAATGCCAGCCGGATGCAGGCGCCATCTTGTAATGGAGAATTCCGGGACGGCTCCCTACAATAATCATATTTTATCCTCCCTCCCTCCTCCTCTCCCAGTCCCTTCCCATAACCTGACTCAACATCCACTCCACCTCCATTCTCTTCAGAAAAGAGCAGGTCTCCTATGTATATCAGCCACTCATAGACTATCAAGTTGAACTAAACCTAGGCACTTCCTCTATTTAATGCTGGATGAAGCAACTCAGCAGGAGGAAAGGGTCCCAAAGCAGGTAACAAAATCAGAGAAAAGCCCTGAAAACCAATGTTAGGAGCCTCACAAGAAGATCAAGCTACACAACTGTGCAGATTGCCTAGACCAATCCTATGCAAGATCTCAGGCTGGCATCCCATGTTAGTTGATTCTGTGGGTTTTCTTGTGGTGTTCTTGGCCTTTCGGACTCCCATCATCCTAACTTCCCCTGTTCCACAGAATCCCACAAGGTCTGCCTAATGTTTGGATTCGGGTCTCTTCATCTGTTTCCATCAGTTGCTAGATAGATCTCTCTGATAACAATTGGCCTAGGCAATTTTATAATTTTATTTGGAAGTACTGGACTTTTCTACTTCTCTCAAAGTGTCCTAGCTAAGAGTTTGTCTTGAGTCTCAGTGGAGACTTTACACTTGGACTTTTGAGCAATACTAGAGTAAGACTATGGACATTTATAGGAGTTAACTGAAAATGTTTTACATTTTGAGACATGCATGAGAATTTGGGGACCAGGTTATAGTTTGGATATTCAGTGTCCCTAAAAATGACCACATTAAAGGTTTAATCTGTAGCTTGGTACTATAGGAAAGAGGTGAAAACAAGATTGCGACTGAGTGGGAGGCCTTCCAGTTATTGTAATTTCATTGAGAAGTTATCAGGATCATAGGCTTTTCCTCCTCTTTAATAAGGAATAAGGATCTGACATATTTTATTGTCTGTTTCTTTTCCATATGCAACATGAATTATAAATCAACAAATTATGACAAGGTCTTCCTTCAGATTGCTACATTTTCATACAAATTCAGACAAAAATCCTACTTAACAGACAACATATATATATATATATATATACATATATACATATATATATATACATATATATATATGGCTTCATATGTATTGTATGTAGTTTCTTTCTATGTTAGTTAAACCTTTATTTTTTGTTTAGACACTAAGGGAGAAATATTGTGTGATATTTGTTTGTGTTCTGACAAATAAAGCTTGCCTGGAAATCAGATGGCAGGGCTAGCCCTAGTTAACCAAAGAGCCAAGCAGTGGTTACACATACCTTTAATTTCATCACACAGGAAGTTGAGAAAGAAGTGGTAAGGTGTGGTACAGACAGGATCTCACTCTTTATGGATGGGGCAATGAGATAGGTAGGAAGCAATTAGTGGCTGCGCCTGGTTCTTTAATCTTTCGTGTTCTCCCCCCCCCCAGATTCTTTATTGATAAAGACAAATTAGGTTTATGCTTAATACAAATACTTGAATGAACATACACACACACATACACACACACATACTAAATCAGTCACAAACTGCTTTTGAAATTTGGATGCTGCTGATGCTTACTTTTATTTACTACAGTTCCATTGAAGCAGAAAGGTGCCTCTGAAAGTAGTTTGCTTCCACAAGGCCAGTCTGCAAGTCCTATGGCTCACCTATTCTTCAGAGTATCTTATGAATCCATTCCACTCCAGGCTGAAAAATAAAGTTGGTAGATGGAAATAAAAAGGAAGTATCACTAGTTATAAAGAATGTCTGCTATGTTAAAGATTATAACTAAACATATAGTATAGTATTGTAGATTGAGAAAAATTTGGATGGTTTCTAAATGCCTCCTTGAACTAAATGCAGATCTATAATTTGAAGACTTTGAAGATGTAGTTCAGAAGTGTACACATCAAACCCTGGAGTGCACCTATTGGCACTCAGGGGCAAGTATAATCAAATATTAGTCTAGTTACCATTCTTTGCAGAGGAACTAAAACCCTATAAATGTCACATTATTAGTCTACCTTCAAATTTGAAAATATAATATAAAATGACAGTAACTTCAGATTGTATAACACTAATACAAATATACAAATATTTTCACATGGGTTATTCTTTGTAGTGTCTGTATAAGTACACAGTTTTTTTCCCTAGTTTCAATGTCATAGTATTTTTTCTGTTTCTCTCTTTTAACTTTATAGAATACACACACACACACACACACACACACACACACACACACACACACACATAGGTATGTATATATGCTCACACAGTATTTTATAATTTGATAAACAACAATTTTATAAATTTAGTTCCAGAGTTTTTCTATAGTAGGCAGTATTACTACTATGTATATAGTTTGATTTTCTTTCTATCAACATGTTTACATTTTTAGAAATTTTTAGATACTACTATCTCACTTATGACTCTTCCTACATATCCTCACTTTGGTCTAGATAAAAGGTAACACAATGGCGGGAAAGATGAAGGTGGTGAATAATTAATGAAAATGAAAATGATAAATTCAATTGCCTTATGTTTGACATGACCAAGGGCTTCACTCAGCTCTACTAACATAAGAACAGACAATGAACCAAGTCAGAGCAAACAGAATTGTGATGCATGTCCCAAGATTACGTAACACTTGAAACAAAGATTAGAGAGATCTAGAAAGAGATGATACAACATCTATCAGGAGTGCCTTCCAAAGCAATATATATGTCATCTCACCACCAAAAATATCCAAGATATTTGGAAAAGGATAATGGAAAGAACAATATCTTAGATGAGAAAAGTAGAAATTATAAATCAACAGGAATATTTGTCCCCAAGAAGAAGTAGTTAATCTCAAAAAGATGCTTAAAAATTAGAGGAGATTCTGTCACTTCACGAAAGCTAACTTGTATTTTTTGTTGTAAGAACACAGGCTTATTATAACCTTCTGTTTCCACTTGGATAGAATAAGTAAGTTTTGTGTATTCATGAATCTTGCTATTCTGTTTATCTGTTGTGTATATTTTGTTTATTAGAGACATACTGTGTTCAGCAACTTTCTAGGAAGTGTTTTTATGGTTCATTTAAATGTTCCCTTCGAGTTTGAGTCAGTTTTTAGTTTTGGTTTTTTCAAAGGGTTGTATAGTTAACTATACAGCAAGTAAGTAAATGACTTCAAGCAAACTACTTTGCCACACTCTAGTCAAAATAAGTGTTTTTCCGTTGATATTTAAGAATTTGTTTGGTAACTTGAGTAAGCTGTTTCAGTGTACTTTTCATCTTTCTTGTCTCTAAGCTCCAAATTTGAATACTGTTAATTATTAAATACTGGCAAGTATCAAATTAAAGGAGAATTATTGTTTAGATTATATATTCAGACTTTTAAACCTTCACTTCAAAATCCAACTTGTCCTCAAGTATTAACTAGTAGTAAACTTACCAAAGGAGCATATCTTTCCTTTGGAGGTGGAGGAGGCACCTTGCACTGACAGACGTGTTTTGGCTTAAGTGATGCTCGTAAAGGCTCACAAGGAGGGAGTGGTAGTCTTTCTCTTGATGTAGGGATTCTACCACCCACACTTCTTTTCCCCTTTTCTCTGAAAGTAGTCTTTTTGGATGATGCTCTGAATCCTCTTCTTAGTTCTGATGTTCCCTTCTTTGAGTCGTTGGATGTGACATCTGAATCATCAGTGGTCTTTATAACCTTAAACTCCGATGACCCTTCAGATTCAGTATCTGAAGGCCTTACATCTCTCTGTATGCCTGTCTTGGAAGATACATCAGATGCTGAATCAGAATAACTACCTATGTCCTTCATCGAATCTTTCATGGCCTCTTTCTTTTCCTTCTTAACTTCAAATTCAGACTCACTTGCAGTAGACTCTACTTTATTCTTTGCATCCTTCTTTTCTCCTTTCTTTATAGTTTTCTTATCTTTCTTTTCACCTTTCTTTACTGATAGATCACCTTCAGATTCAGAATCAGCATCAGTAGACTTTGTATCTTTAATAGGCTTCCTCTTGTTCCCTTTAGTTTCCTTCTTTTCATCTTTCTTGCCCTTCTTTGACTCTACGTCTGATTCAGAATCAGTATAGAATGCATCCTTCTTATCATCTTTCTTTGAACGTCTCTTTTCTTTTTTTGCACCCCTTGAGTCTATAGATTCAGCATCAGTAGAATCTGAACCTTTTTTGTCCATATTCTTTTCTTTCTTTGAATCCTTGGAGTCACCAGATTCAGTACCAGTAGATTCTGTGTCCTTCTTTTTTCTGACTTCCCTTTTTTCTTTTTTATCTCTTTTTGATTCTTTCTTTGCATCCTTGGAGTCACCAGATTCAGCATCTGTAGACTCTGTATCCATCTTTTTCCTAGATTCTCTCTTTTTCTTTCCTTCTTTCCTTGCATCTTTTGAGTCTCCAGAATCAGGATCAGAGTCCTTTTCCTTCTTTCCACCCTTCTTTGCAGGCTTCTTAGCATTGTTCTGTGAGCAATTTGTTGCCCATTCATCAAAATCTTTGGATTCAGCTCTTAACTCATTGAGAAACATTAAGTTCATATATGAGCGACTTATGCACTTTGATTTGTCATCAGAAAATTTCTCAGAGCTCTTCTTGGACTTTGCATTTGGATTGCCCTTCCAAAATACAGCTTCATCATTTGTTTTCTTGAAATTCATTGAATATTCATTGTCATTTCTTGAATCTATTTCCATGGTTATCTTGGAATTGTTGGATTCTAGATTGGATTCTAATGTGGCATTTAAGTTTCCAAATAGTTCACTTTCATGTGATGATTTTGATGGATTTGTTTCTGTGTTGATTATTTCAGGTTTACCTTTAGTTGTTATTGTCTTGCATTCCAGATTTATTGCACATGAGCTTATATTTACCTTGAAAGTTTTCTTCAAGGTTGTTCTTTTATCATCTTTGGTCTTTCTAATTGTTGACATTATATAATGGTTTCGAGGATTATAAAGATATTTGAATGGATCCTGTGTAATGAAAGTTAGGGAAAAGGGTGGCCGTAGGAAAAGTTCTCTGAAACATTGATTTATCCATATAGTAGTTGGTTTCTGACCTTTATCAACTTTCACTTTTTCTTGCCTCTGGAAAGATTGGGGAGAATGACAATAAGTATTTGTAAATGAGTTACACATTTTAATTTGCATCATAATATATTTATCTTTTCATCAATCATCTATCAAAAAGATGTTTTCTATTTCAAGATGTGTGTGTGTGTGTGTGTGTGTGTGTGTGTGTGTGTGTGTGTACACTGTGGTGTATGTGGGGAGTTCAGAAGACAACACTGAGGTGGCAAGATCTCCCCTTCCAACAATCAAATCTAGGGACGAAACTCACATCATCAGGCTTGGTAACAAGCACCTTTACTAACTGAGCTACCTTGCCAGCCCTTAGTTTTCATGTTGTTTCAAGTATTCAGTAGAAGGTCCAACAATCAAATAGTCATGAGATTAAATGATGACTATGCAGGGAAGATTGTATATTATTATACAAATAATGCATGATGATGTAATACATACATTGGTTGTAACTGCTTTGGGAGACACTTTAACATCTTCATGTATCACAATGGATTATCCATGAATACTAGGATTTCATTTTGCTAATGAAAACTCTACTTTATGATAAGTCCACTTTAAAGTAGCATAAAAACCTCGACTCTCCCACCATCAAGTATCATGAATGACAGTTTTCAGCAAACAGGGATGTTCCACATCTTTACAATTAGATCCCATTTTGAGATTTAAATTTTAGATCTATTTGAACTACCACTTGTGAACTTAGGCTGTCCATTTTCCTTTACCTACTAACTCTGGTGTAGACAACCATGTACAAATTAGGAATGAATGTGTGTATGTGTGTGTGTAAAAATAATTGCATGAATTTGTGAGAAAAGAGGGATATATTGGAATTTTTGGAGAGAGGAAAGGAAATGGGGAACTGTTGTAATTAGTGTTTTTACAGTTTCATACTTTAGTTAAAAACAAATTGGTAGGTAAGATAACTCAGCATACAGTGGTGGTTACTATACAAGCTGGTTGACCTGAATTGGATTCCATAGTGGAAGAAAATAAGCACTTTCTGAAAGCTGTTCTTATGTACCTTCATGCCTTCTCTCACAAACATACATTATGCCCACTCTCTCACACACACAGACACTAACAGTAATAAATCAAATAATATTAAATAATTTTTATAGGGAACAGTTATTATAACACAAGGCTAAAATGTAACTAGTACATAAATATAACACAAGAAGGATACTGTTTCACAGCTGACCTGAACAAAGGGGAGCTCATGGACCCTAGTCTGATAGCTGGGCAACCATTATAGGACCAACACAGACCTCCTGAACTTGGGTATTAGTTAGGAGGACTGGCCAGTCTATGAGGCCTCTGGTAGTGGATTATTATTTATCCCTAGTATATAAATGGACTTGGGAGCCCATTCCACAAAGAGGGATACTCTCTCAGCCCAGACACATGGGGGAGGGCCTAGGCTCTGGTCCAAATGATATGACAGACATTGAAGATCCTCCATGGAAGGCCTCACCCTCCCTGTAGAGCAGAAAGGGGATGGGATGGGGTTGGGGGGGCACAGGGAAGGAGGGGTGGGTGTTGGAACTGGGATTGGCATGTAAAACAAGCTTGTTTCAAATTTAAAAATGAATACTGTTTCAAAAGAACATCAAAGAACTGGAATCTTTATGAAGATGAGTACCTATAGAGATTTTTATCTTTATAATATTGATATGATATAATTATAATCTCAAAAATGAAATAAAAATGTTTATTTTTAAAACATGGGGGAGCAATTTGTTCTATAGAGTTATAAATTTAAAATCTGCTTCAGAATAATATAACTCAAATTATGTATGTCTTGTTTACATTTATGTATGCTGTTATCAGTATATATTTAGTTTTAAAGTGATTTTTTTCTATACTTACAGGAACTGACACTTGTAATTCTGAAGATCCTGATCTCTTCCTTATACCTGGCAGAGTTGTTTTGGGAAGTGTCAAATCAAAATGTTCTTGATTGCATTTTTCCACAGTTTCACTGACTGAGATAAGAAAAATAAAATAAAAATTGGAGTTGATATCCAGACTCTTGTAGTGAAGGACATTGTTAAGAAAACTATATTATTTAAGTAAAAGTTGTTACTCAAAATATACCTCTTCCTCTTGCAGTTTATTTGACTGGCAATTAAGAAACATAAAGCCATTTTTTTCAAGTTAGCATTGGCTTATCTTTATCATAACAATTTTGTTTTTTATGTAAGATCAATTTTCACAGAATGTTACAATGATACAATGATACAAACTGCTGTTATAAAATGATTGGAATGAATTGGCCCCTGATCCTGCTGCTACTGTCTCCAGTCCCCATTGAGAGCACCCTTGGAGCTCTGATACACCCCCACCCATCCCCACCGCCAGCCTACCCCCCCCTACCCTGTGCCCTACTCCACCCACGGTCCTGCCCCTCTGGTTGAGCACTTAGACAGAGGGTGGAGCCAACAGTCTACCCTACTTCAGAGACTTCTCTGAGCAATTCTGAACAAAGGAGACCTGACTATCCACGCAGGGGACCACCCCTAATTACCACCAGCTTAGTCTCTGACCCCCCTCTAGTCCTCTGCTGGAGTCCCAGGCAGGCCCCTCCCAGAGATCCGCCTATCTCTGCAGGTCCACTCTGAGTTCCTGCAGGCAAGATCCTTGACCCCCAAATCCTGGCCTCTGCCAAAGAACGAGGTCTCAGCTGAAGAGCTCCAGTTTCCAGTGAGATCCCACTATCCTGCAAAACCTTCTCAAGTTCCAGCTCACCCCTTGCCCTCTTCCGACAGCTATTGGCCAGAGCTATTGTCTAGAGCTACTGGCCAGAGGACCACTGTGAGTACCTGCTGGCATTTTCTTCTGGATCCTCATCCTTGACCCCATCCCTGGATCCCTGTCTGCAGAGAAACCTCCTAGAGAGCTTGGACCACACAGAGCTACAGATATTGAATCTCAGACCCACATAAGCCCATCGGGAAGTACCATAGAGAGAGAGGGGAGACACCACCAACACCTACTGGAAGAAGCTATGGGAAGAAGGCAATACAAGAGAACACCTAACAACAGAAAGACAAACATGACACCACCAGAATCTAGGGAATCTACACCAACTAGAATGGAACACAACAACAAAGCAGAAGAAGCGGAAGGGTACGACTTAAAAATTACCATCATAAAAATGATAGAGGCCCTCAAAGATGATGTGAGAAAATCCCTTAAAGAAATGGAGGAAAAAACAAACAAAAAAGTGGAAGAAATGAACAAATTCCATAAGGAAAGTACAGAAATCCAAGAAAGAACAATTAACCAGGTGAAGGAAACGGTTCAAGACTTGAAAACTGAAATTGAGAAAATAAAGGCAACACAAACGGAAGGAATGCTGGAAATTGAAAAGCTGGGCAAAAAATCGGCAACTACAGAAACAAGCATAACCAATAGAATTCAAGAGATGGAAGAGAGAATCTCAGGCGCAGAAGATAAACTAGAATAAATGATTCATCGACCAAAGAAAATCATAAATCCAACAAATCCTTAACACAAAACATCCAGGAAATGTGGGACACCATGAAAAGGCCAAACCTAAGAATATTAGGCATAGAGGAAGGTGAGGAAGCCCAGCTCAAAGGTGCCGAAAACATATTCAACAAAATCATCGAGGAAAACTTCCCAAATCTGAAGAAGGGCATGCCCATGAAAGTACAAGAAGCATAATGAACCCCAAATAGGCTGGACCAAAGAAAAAAGACCCCTCGATATATGATAATCAAAACACCTAGCATACAGAATAAGGAAAGAATATTAAGAGCAGCGAAGGAAAAAGGACAGGTAACATATAAAGGCAGACCTATCAAAATTACACCTGACTTCTCCAGGGAAACCCTCAAGGCCAGAAGGTCCTGGATAGATGTTCTAAAAGTATTAAGAGAACACGGATGCCAGGCTAGGCTACTATATCCAGCAAAACTCTCCATCACTATAGATGGAGAGAACAAGATATTTAATGACAAAACCAGATTTTTCCAATACGTATACACAAATCCAGCCCTACAGAAAGTATTGGAAGGAAAACTCCAACCCAAGGAAGGTAACTACACCCACAAAAATGTAGAAAACAGAAAATCCAACTATACCAGAAACCAATGGTAAAGCAGAACTAATATATTCACAATACCACTGCCAACAACAAACTTCAATCAAACAAGCATCAACAATCAATGGTCCTTACTCACCCTCAACATTAATGGTCTTAACTCACCTAAAAAAAGACACAGGCTAACAGAACGGATACAAAGACAGAATCCATCCTTCGGCTGCATACAAGAAACATATCTTAGCTTCAAAGATAGACATAACCTCAGGGTAAAGGGTTGGGAAAAGATTTTCCAATCAAATGGAAATAAGAAGCAAGCAGAAGTAGCGATCCTAATATCTAACAAGTTAGACTTTAAACCAAAATTAGTCAAAAGAGATGAAGACGATCATTTCATATTCATCGCAGGAGAAATCAATCAACACAAAGTCTCAGTTCTGAACCTCTATGCCCCTAATACAAAGTCATCCACATTCGGAAAAGAAACACTACTAAAACTCAAAGCTCATATAAAACCTCACACACTTATAGTGGGAGACTTCAATACACCACTCTCAACACTAGACAGGACCACAAATCAAAAACTCAACAAAGAAACAAAATGAATAACAGAAGTTATGTCTCAACTGGGGTTAACAGACATCTATAGAACATTCCATCCAAAGACAAAAGAATATAACTTCTTCTCTGCTCCACATGGAACCTTCTCTAAAATCGACCACATACTAGGTGACATAACAAACCTCACCAGATACAAGAGAATAGGAATAGTTCCCTGTATCTTATTGGACCACCATGATTTAAAATTGGAATTCAACAACAACAACACAAATAGCAGAACACCTGCAAACTCATGGAAACTGAACAATGTGCAATTGCACCACTCCTGGGTCAAAGAAGAAATAAAGATAGAAATTAAAGACTTTCTAATATTCAACGAGAATGAGGATACAACATACCCGAACTTATGGTGCACCTTGAAAGCAGTGATACGAGGGAAGTTCATTGCACTAAGTGCCCACATGAAGAGAACAGAGGATAGTCACATAAGAGAATTAACAGCCCAACTGAAAACCTTAGAACAGAGAGAAGCGAATTCACCCCGCAGGAGCAGACACCAGGAAATAATCAGCTTGAGGGCTGAAATCAACAAAATAGAAACCAGGAAAACAATACAAAAAAAAAAAAAAAAATCAATGCAACAAAGAGTTGGTTTTTTGAGAAAATCAACAAGATAGACAAACCTTTATCCAAATTAATGAAAAAGCAGAGACAGAACATGCAAATTAACAAAATCAGAAACGAAATGGAGAACATAACAACAGACACAGAGGAAATCCAGACAATTTTCAGGTCATACTTTGAAAATCTGTATTCCAGAAAAATTGAAAATTCAAAGTAAATGGACAAGTTTCTGGATAACTATCACTTACCAAAATTAAATCAAGAACAGACAAACAAATTAAATAGACCTATAACCTGCAATGAAAGAGAAGCAGTCATCGGAAGCCTTCCAACCAAAAAAAGTCCAGGGCCAGATGGATTCAGCCCAGAATTCTACCTGACATTCAAGGAAGAACTAATACCACTACTCCTCAAACTGTTCCACAAGATAGAAACAGAAAGTTCATTGCCAAACTCTTGTTATGAGGCCACAATAACTTTGGTACCCAAACCTCACAAAGACACAACTAAGAAAGAAAACTACAGACCAATATCCCTGATGAACATCGATGCAAAAATACTCAATAAAATACTGGCAAACCGAATTCAAGAATACATCAGAGAAATCATCCAAATAGGCTTCATACCTGGAATGCAGGGATGGTTTAACATATGAAAATCTATCAACGTGATCCACCATATAAACGAACAGAAAAAGAAAAACCATATGATTATCTCCCTACATGCGGAAAAAGCCTTCGACAAAATTCAACACACTTTCATGACAAAGATCTTGGAGTGATCAGGGATAACAGGAACATACTAAACATAATAAGAGCAATATACAGCAAACCAACTGCCAACATCAAACTGAATGGAGAGAAACTTAAGCCAATTCCTCTAAAATCAGGAACAAGACAAGGCTGTCCTCTCTCTCCATATATCTTCAATTTCGTAATAGAAGTTCTAGCTAATGCTATAAGACAACAAAAGGAGATCAAGGGGATCCAAATTGGAAAGGAAGAAGTCAAACTGTCTCTACTTGCAGATGATATGATAGTTTACATAAGTGGCCCAATAAACTCTACCAGGGAGCTCCTACAGCTGATAAACACCTTCAGCAAACTAGCAGGATACAAGATAAACTCAAAAAAATCAGTAGCCCTACTTTTTTCAGACGACAAAGAGACAGAGAAAGAATCAGAGAAACATCACCCTTTACAATAGCCACAAGCAACATAAAGTATCTTGGTGTCACGCTTACCAAACAAGTAAAAGACCTATATAATAAGAACTTTGTGACTCTAAAGAAAGAAATTAAAGAAGATACCATAAAATGGAAAGATCTCCCATGCTCTTGGTTAGGTAGGATTAACATAGTAAAAATGGCAATCTTACCAAAAGCAATCTACAGATTCAATGCAATCCTCATTAAAATCCCACCACAATTCTTCACCGACCTTGAAAGGATAATAATCAACTTTATATGGAAAAACAAAAGACCCAGGATAGCCAAAACAACCCTATACAATATAAGAACATCAGGAGGCATCACCATTCCTGACTTTAAGCTCTACTACAGAGCTATAGTTCTGAAAACAGCCTAGTATTGGCATAAAAATAGACAGGTAGACCAATGGAATCGAATTGAAAATCCTGATATTAATCCATGCACCTATGAACACCCGATTTTCGACAAAACTGCTAAAATTATACCATGGGGCAAGGACAGCATCTTTAACAAATGGTGCTGGCACAATTGGATGAGGGTGTGTAGAAGACTGCAGATAGACCCATGTCTGTCACCATGCACAAAACTCAAGTCCAAATGGATCAAAGACCTCAACATCAATCCAGCCACATTGAACCTCTTAGAAGAGAAAGTAGGAGGTACACTTGAACAAATTGGTATAGGAGACTGCTTCTTGAACATAACTTCAGGGGCACAGATACTGAAAGAAACAATTAATAAATGGGACCTCTTCAAACTTAGAAGCTTCTGAATGGCAAAGGACATAGTCGACAAGACCAAACGACACCCCACAGGCTGGGAAAAGATTTTCACCAATCCTATATTCGACAAAGGGCTGATCTCCAAAATACATAAAGAACTCAAGAAACTAGGCAACAAAACACCAAATAACCCTATTAAAAATGGGGTACAGAACTGAAGAAAGAATTCTCAATAGAGGAAATCAAAAAGGCTGAAAGACACTTAAGAAAATGCTCCACATCCTTAGCTATCAGGGAAATGCAAGTCAAAACAACTTGGAGATACCATCTTACTCTTGCCAGAATGGCTAAAATTAGAAACACCAGTGATGACTTATGTTGGAGAGGATGTAGAGAAATTGGAACACTCCTCCAATGCTGGTGGGAGTGCAAACTCATACAGCCATTTTGGAGATCCCTATGACGGTTCCTCAGGAAAATGGGAATTAGTTTACCACAGGACCCAGCAATCCCCCTCTTAGGCATATACCCAAAGGATTCACAACCATGCAACAAAGACATGTGCTCAACTATGTTCATAGCAGCACTATTTGTAATAGGAAGAACCTGGAAGCAACCTAGATGCCCCTCAATTGAAGAATGGTTAATGAAGATGTGGCACATCTACTCAATGGAATACTACTCTGCAGAAAAAAACAATTGTATCTTGAAATTCGCAGGCAAGTGGATGGCACTTGAAGTCACCATCCTGAATGAGGTAACCCAGTCACAAAAAGAGGAACACAGTATGTACTCACTCATATATGGATTTTAGACCTAGATCAAAGGATCACCAGCCTATAATTCACATCACCAGAGGAACTAGGATAGAAGGTGTATTCTAAGAGATTCATATATATTCCCGCATAGAATTGGGAAGGGACAAGTCCCCCAGAGCTCAGGTGAAGTGGGGGGGCAGCGAATGGAGAGAGATTTAGGAGAAAATGAGGGGGAGGAAAGGAAAACATGTATGACCAGGAAGATTGAACCTGGTTAGGAATAGAAGATAGGAAAGAGAGAGACAGAGACACAGAGAGAGAAAATAAAAGAGGGAGCCAAATTGGTTTGAAGATAAAATTGAACACAAAGAAAGGTCTAGAGAATTAACAATCTCAGCTTCCGTGGAAAGGCTAACATAATTGACCTTCCCAGAGAGTGAGATCAACGAGTAACTTCTCCATGGAGCCCTCAACTAATGGCTGTTGAAAACAGGATCAAACACCCATACATAAACACTGAGTCGAACTAGAACCCAGATGCAGATGGAGAGGACAAGACCATGCTGCAAAAACACATAGAGACAGCTTACCTGAACAAGGAGGAGCTAAAGGCCACTAGATTGATAGCTGGGAAACCAGCATGGGACTGACTTAGGCCCCCCTGATTATGGGTCTCAGCCAGAAGGACTGAGCAGATAAAGAGACCTCAGACAGTGGAGCCAGGATGTATCCCTGGTTCACAAAAGAACTTTGCGAACATATCCCCCATGGAGGGATAACTGCCTTAATCTAGAGACAGGAGAGAAGCCCTAGTCCCTACTTCACATTACCTGTCAGATCTACATGACCCCAACTGGATGGCATTCCCCTACATATGGAATTGGGGTAGGTGGATGGGAGGGGATGGTGTTTAGAGTGCATGTGAGAGGGCAGAGAGTGTAAAAGAGAGTAAAGGAGGGAGGAAGGGATGGGGGAGGGAGGGAGGGAGGGAGAGGGAACTGGGATCGACATGTAAAATAATAAATTAAATTAAAAAAAATGCTTTGACTCCAAAATTTAAGTTGAAGGACAAGTTACTGGGGAAAAGGATTTCTACTTTTGTTTCCACAGAAAATGGAAAGATTTGGATTCCTTTCAGACTAGTGTGGTTTGATCACGTCAGACTGCCTGAAACAGAGTACGAGGTGATCCTACATTCAAAACAGCTGGACAAAACAGCCCTACAGCCTACAGCCAGGATATCTTAATCTTCTTCGAATCCCCCATGACAGTGTCCCTTACCAGCAGGAAGTAGTTTGGAAAGAACGATGCCCAAATTCCCAAGTATTGTGTATAAATGTTTGTTTTCATTTAATTGGACTTTGTTATATAAAATTAAATAAAATAATAATAATAATAAATGATGGGAATGAAATATAGACTAATTCTAACTGTTTACTTTCAAATGCTTACATTGTCTCCACTGTCTTGATTTCTCAATGTAATTTTGGTTAGGTGGGAGATAATATGAGTAATTCTTCCATGATTTCTATAATAAATAGCATAACATTGAGCATAAAGTAACCAGTGAAAGTGTTAATTTTCAGAGATGCCTTAGAGGGTTTACACCTCTGAATTTAATAGCACCTCCAACCACAGGAATTAGACCCAGACATGTGAATAGTCTTGCCCACCCTATGTAAGGACATATACATATTTTTGGTTATTTAGAAAAATCAGGAATATCCAACTGTCTGGAATCTATGACAAAGGTGGAATTGGGAACAGAATTCAGGATAATGTTCCTAGAGAGGAGAAGGCTAATGAGAGATGTTATCTTATATATTTGAAGAGCTGCTATATGTGAAGGCAGTCATAGTATTATATAGCTGATACTGCTGATAGTTAATATTCTTTATATGTCATATTCTGTCCTAATAGTTGTCAACTCAATCCTCAAAAATTCTTTTCAATTTAGATAATGTCATTAAATATTATACTAATATATAAAAAAACACACTGCCATATGTTAAATTTTTTATTCCAAATTATAAAGCTAGTAAACAGTTGAAGTAAGATTCACATGCAATTTGGTCCCAGAAGCAATCCATTAACTGAAGTATTACAATGTTGTTTGCATATTTACTAAGAGTAGAGCTGGAACTAATATAAATAAGTTATGCCACTTTGTGTATGTATGTTTTAGTTTAATATATGAAGGAGACCTCTGTAAGCTTGCAGTGTCTCAACTAAGGTATTCTTTTCTTAACTTCTCTCATCTCTAACTTTACTTGACTTTTTCACTTTAAGTTTTATAATTATGAACTTTGAGTACAGAGGGTAGTTTATGAGAGTAAGTATGATTCCTATATGAGAAGTAAGGGCTAAATAAATCACTTATTTGAAGTCAACTAATAAATGCACGCTTCAAAGTCAGAAATATTTTGTACCTGCATGTGTATGTGTGTGCATGAGTATGTGTATATATACAAATTCAGGAAAGTTTTTTAATTTTGCCACATTTACCATTTACAAATGGTACTGACCATTTGTTGCTACAGCGTTTAGAAATTTTCAAAGAACAAATTCTTACTTAAAATGTAATCATCACATGTTGTGGTGTTTATCTCTTGCCTGTAAAAGATAAAGACAGAATTTTAACTGAATTTGTACTATGTGTAATCATCATCATTATGCACTTCAATACTAATACTTGAATATCTTTAATGCATTTTGTTGCATCAAATTCTTCAATATAAAGTAAAACAAAACCAAAATAATGAGACATATTTAAATTTGAATATAAACTATTTATACTTCTTAAAATAGGGGCTAATACCCATAAAAGGATGATTCCTACTCATTATCAAATAGCTACTATCTTTGTAGTGAGATATTCACTTTGTTTACTTCTGTGGAAGTGAACACGTCCATTGGGGGGTGGAGCCAGGGGCAGAAGTGACCTTTGGAACTAGGTCTGAGGAGGAGCCAGGTTGGCAGGACACAGAGAGTAGAGCATCTGGTGGAACCTGAGGGTGTTCATCTGTCTAGGTTGTAAGTTATTTCCCTGAATAAACACCTATTTGGCCTATTTGTTTATCCTGATTCTTATTACACTGCGATATATCTTTTTATTTATTTATTATTCATTAATTTATTATTATTTTTATATTCTGACCACATTTTCCAATCTCCCCCTCAACTTCCCAATCCTTTCCCCACCCTATCCACTCCTTTCTCTGCAGAAAATGGAAGGCCTCCCATGGGTGTCAGCAAAGCATGGCATAAAATGTTATAGAATGAGGAATTGTGTCCAAAAAGCTATCAAAAAGTCAGATAGTCCCTGCTCTGCTGTTAGAAGTTTCACAAGATCAAGCTGCACAACTATATCATATATGCAGAGTGCCTAGGTCAGTCCCATGCAGACTCCCTGGTTGTTGGTTTCTGCCAGCTCCTATGAGCCCAGGTTAGTTATTTATGTGGGCTTTCTTGTGATGGCCTTCATCCCTCTACTTCCCACATTCATTTCTCCCCATCTTCTGCAGAATTCCCTGAGCTCCATCTAATGTTTGGCTGTAGATCTGAACATCTGTTTCCATCAGTTGCTGGATGAAGTCTCTCTGATGACAACTTTGCTAGGCACAAATCTGTGAGTAGAGCAGAATATCACTAGACATCATTATACTGACGTCCTTTTCTCCAGTCATGTTTGGTTCTATCTTAGGTTTCTGGTCCAATCAGCTTCTGTGTCATGGTTCTCTAGGTGGTGTCAGCTGTGGGCTCACTCTTGTGGCATGGGTCTCAGGCTGGACCAGTCATAAGCCTCTCTTACACCCGATCATACAATAAGCAGGACAGACTGTAGGTTAAGAGTTATGTATCTGGGCTGGTGTCCCAATCCTATCCACTGGAAGTCCTGCCTTGACAGAGGAAATTGCCCGTTCAGGCTATGTGCGCCTTATTGCTAAGAGTCTTAGCCTGGTATCTCATAGATTCTTGGGAGTTTCCCTTGTACCAAGTTTCTATCTCACCCTGAAACCCCCCCTCTTCCAATTATCTCTTTCAGTACCCTCTACCTCTATCACCTGATCCTTCATTTTCACATTCACACCCACCCACATACATCCACGAAATGTATTTTATTTTCTCTATGCTCCCAGTTACCTAGCTTCTCTAAGTAGCATGGATAGGTAATATCCATTCATAAGTGAGTATATAGCACATTTGTCTTTCTGGGTGAGGTTATCTCACTCAGGATGATTTATTTCTTGTTCCATCCATTAGCCTGTAATGTTTTTTGATGTCAATGTTTTTAAGAGTTGAATAATATTACATTTTCTTTATCCATTCTTTGGTTGAGGGTCATCTAGATTGTTTTCAGGTTATGGCTATTCATTATGAATAAAACTCCTATGAACACAGTTGAACAAGTATTCTTGTGGTATGATTGAGCATCTGTTGGGTATATGCCCAAGAGAGTGGTATCACTGGGTCTTGAGGTAGATCAAGTCACAATTTTCTGAGAAACTACCATATTGATTTCCAAAGTGTCTATACAAGTATGTACTTCCACCAACAATGGGGGAATGTTCCTCTTACTTCACATCCAATCCAGCATGAGCTGTCATTAATGTTTATTTTTTAAAGTAAAATTTGTACTTAATATTGCACAATATCATCTAGATAGATATAAATTATGTCATCACAGCTCATTGAATTTTTCTAGAAAAAAGGCTTACAATTGTAACCAACACACAGGTCATTATTACTACACACCAAGCCTGATACTCCCCCTTACTGCTATTAGATATCATATTTTATAATGATGCATACTAGTTTTGTTATTTAAAGTTTACACGAATAAAATATAACATGGTATAGTTTTTGGTGTGTAGCCTCTTCAGTTTACTATTTGTGTAATATACTTTGCAGCAAATATTTTATGCTATTTAAATTATACAGAATTTAATTTTATAGATTTAAAATAATAATGACATAAGAATATTGTCATGTAGTGATGGGTCTTTTGTATTGTTTGTACATTTTTCCTGTTTTACATATTCTATTACACACATTTTTTGGCAAATGTATACACATTGAGTTTGGCCTAATAGTAGACCTAGAATTACTACATTAATGTAAATGCCTATTATTTGCTCTTGTGGAATTAAATGGGATGTTCAATGGTGGGAGAGATGGAGTGGGAGATCAATGAAAGATATCTTGATAGAAAGTAACCATGAGGATAGGGAGAAGACTTGTGCTAGGGATATTTCCAGGAATCCACAGCGATGACCACAGCTAAAACTGGAGGGGATGGAGAAGGTGCCTGAAGTGACCTTCTTCTGTAATCAGATTGGTGACTACCGTAACTGTCATCCTAGAGCCTTCATCCATTAATTGATGGAACCAGATGTAGAAATCCACAACCAAGCACCAGACCAAGTGCCAGGAATCCAGTCAAAGAGAGGGAGGAGATAATATATGAGCAGGGGAGGTCAAGATCATGATGGAGAAATCTACAAAGACAGCTGAACCACACTTGTGGAAACTCATTAACTCTAGACCAATAGTTTTGGAGCATCCATGGAATGAAACTAGGCACTCCATGTGTGGGAGACAGTTGTGAAGCTTGGACTATCTGAGGTGCCCCTGGCAGTAGGACCAGGCTCTATACCTGGTGAATGAGCTAGCTTGTTGGAGCCCATTTACTATGGTGAGATACCCAAGGGATGAGAAAGAGAGTCCCTTCACCTACCACAATGTCCTATACTCCACGGAATTGGTCGAAGATGACAGCTCTGTGACCAGCATCCACATTATATAAGGCGGAGCTCACCACACCTCCTGCAACTGCTAAAGTTAGGCCGAACTTTCCGATGGACTCAATCACTTTGGCAGCCATGATTCCTTCTGTTGCACCCACTCACACCTGCTTTCACACTGACTTCCACATGAATTCCCCAAATAAATACATTTTTAAAAAGAAAAAGTCATTCACAGACTGCTGAAGAAAAGACAAATTTCATCTGTTAACAGGAAAATCCAAATGTAAGCCACAATGAGAGAATAAGGACTAAAACATAATTTTTGACAGTATGAGTACTGACAAGGAAGCAAAATAATTGTCAGGGGTTTGATTGTAAATTGTTCATAAATTTAGGAAAGCTGTCATTAGTGTTTTTTATCTAAATCATTCTGACAGGTGTGATGGAATCCCAGGGTCATTTTGATTTGTGTTTCCCCATGGCTAAGGATGTTCAAATTTTCTTTATGTGTTTTTTGTCCATTTGAGATTCCTATGTTGAAAATTCTCTATTTAGATCTATATCTCATATTTTAATTGAATTATTTTGTCTTTTTTATGTCTAGTTTCTTGAGTTCTTTATATATTTTGAAAATCTGCCCTTTGTTAGTTGTGGAGTTGGTAAAAATCTTTTCCCATTATGTAAGAAGCTGTTTTGTCCTGTTGATAATGTCCTTTGCTTTATAGAAGCTTTTCAGTTTCACGAGGTCCCACTTGTTAAATATTGATCATTGTGTCTGTACTTTTGTTGAGGTCTTTAATCCACTTGGACTTGAGTTCCATTCAGGGTGGAAGATAAGGATCTATTTGCATTCTTTTACTTCCAGATATCCAATTAGAACAACACCATTTGATAAGGATGTTTTCCTTTTTCCATTTTAAAATTTTGGCTTCTTTGTTGAAAATTAATTGTCTATAGGTGTGTGGATTTCTATCAGGGTCTTTGATTTGATTTCATTGATATAGTTGTTTGTGTTTATGCCAGTGCCAGGCGTTCTTTGATTATTATACCTCTGTAGTAGAGCTTGAATTCAGGGAATGTGAAACCTCCCAAAGTTCTTTTATTGTACAAGATTTGTTTACCTATCCTAGGTTTTTGGGGTTTCCATATGAAGTTGAGTATTGTTCTTTCAAGATCTGTAAATAATTGTGCTTGGATTTGGATGGGCATTGCATTAAAACTGTAGATTTTTTTTTTGGGTAAGAATGCCATTTTTTTTACTATTAATCTTATTGATTAATATGTATGGGAGTTCTTTACATCTTCTGATATTGTCTCTAGTTTTTCTTAAAAGAGTTTAAATTCTTGTCATACAGGTCTTTCATTTGCTTGGCTAGTGTTACTCCAATATATTCTATATTACTGATGGTCACTGTGTAGGGTAGTGTTTCTCTGATTTCTTTCTCAGTCCATTTATCACTTGAATATAGGAGAAATATTGATTTTCTTTTTTATTCTGGAATCCACCCACCCACCTCATTAAAGTCTTTTCATCAACTGTAGGTGTTCCTTGATAGAATTTTTAGGCTTGGTTATGTATACTATCATATAATCTACAAATGTGATACTTTGACTTCTTCCTTTCTAATTCATAACTCCTTGATTTCCTTTAGTTGTCTTGTAGCTCTAGCTAGAACTGACAGTACTATATGGAGTAGATATGGAGAGATTGAACAGCTTTGTCTTGTTCCTGATATTAATGCAATTGATTTGAGTTTCTCTCCATTTAATTTGATATTGACTGTAGTTCACTGTAAGTTGCCCTTTTATGTTTATGAATGTTTCTTGTATCTGGGTGTCTCCAAGACTTTTATTACAAAAGAATGTTGGATTTTGTCAAAGGATTTATTAGCTTCTAATGAGATGATAATGTCTTTTTCCTTTAAGTTTGTTTTTATGTTGGATTACATTGACAGATTTTCATATGTTGAACTATCATTGCATATCTGGAATGAAGAATATTTGATCATGTAGATGATCTTTTCGATGTGTTCTTAAGTTGTACATGAATATTTTATTGAATATTTTGTGTCAGTATTACTGAGGGATGTTGGTATAGAATTCTTGTTATTTGTTGAGTCTATATGGTTTGGGTATCAGAGTTACTATGGCCTTATGAAAAGAATTTGGCAATATTCTTTCTTGTTCTACTTTGTGAAATAGATTGAGAAGTATTGGTATTATCTGTTCTTTGATTAGTATCCAACAGAACTACAAGTTTAAAAATGTCTCTGCTGTAGCATCCAGGTTTCACATGTTATGGGAATTTGAACTTACTTTGTCAGGTTTATACAGCAAGTACTTTACACACATTATGCCATATCTTAAATGGATTACCATTCTTAATAATATTTTTGATGTCAGGGATTTTGAATTTTAAAATAAATAGAAGGAGGTAATTATATTTTAGATAGAAATTTAAAGCCAAAGCATGTATGAGCAAAACAAAATAATATATATGCTAGGAGAAATGAAAGATAAAAGTTTCAGAATATTTGTTTTAAAAGTTGAGGTGAACTATACAATTTCTTCCCATTGAACACACAAAAATGAAATAATGGAAAACAGAAAATATGAGATATCATTGACACATTCATTACTAAAAAACTAACCGAAATGAAGAGCTTGAGGTCTGAGCATCTTCGTTGGTCAATTTCTCCTTTTCCCTGAGTAAGAAGAAATAATCATTACAAACACTTGAAGACATAGAAAAATGGTGACCAGTGAAAGTTAAAATGTGACTAGAAACAGATCCCTTCTTTAGAGTCTAGAACAGTGATTCTCAACCTTCCTAATGTTGGTACACTTTAATAAATTCCTCAAGTTGTGGTGACTCACAACCATAAAATTATTTTTATTGCTACTTAATAACTGTAATTTTGAGACTGATATGAGTCATAACGTAAATATCTGTGTTTTCTGGTGGCTTCAGTTGACTCCTATAGAAGTGTCATTTTGTCCCCAAATTATGGAAACCTACAGGTTGAGAACTGCTGGCCAAAGAAATAGACCATGCTTACACTTAAATTTTAGTTCATTGAAATGCATTTCAGATTTCTGATGGCCATTGGACTATAAAACTGTGTTGTTTAATAAATTATGCTATCATTTTAAGCCATTAAATTTGTGACAATTTTCTACATCAATAACAGAAAATTAATAGAAATCTTGGTATCAGTAAAGGGTGCTACTGTAGCAAATATTTCAACATTGTTTGGAGTTAGGCAATAAAGAAAGGCTGGAATCATTTTAAGAAACATGATAGAAAAAGCTTGATTATGCCCACTGTCCCACTGCTTTGGTTGAGCACTGAGACAGAGGGCAAATCCAAGAATCCTGCCACCTTTGGGGAACTTCCTGGAGCTGTTCTGAGCACACTAGACCTGCCTGTCCACATGGGACCACCAGGAATCCCTGCCTGCCTGATTGCTGAACCCCACCATCAGTCCTCTGGGGAGTTCTGGGCCTCACTCAGAGATCCACCTACCCCTTGGAACCATCCTGAGTCCCTGTCTGCTGGATCCTTGACCCCCATTATCGGGCTCTGCTAGAGTGGCCTCATCTGAAGAGTGCCTGGACCTGGCTAGATGTGCCTATCCATACTGAAATATCCTGAGTCCTTGCCTACTGGATCTTTGACTCCCATCACCAGGCCTCTGCTAGAGGTGAGTCTGGGACCAATTTGGTTTGAATCTCCCCCACACCCTTCCCTGAGAACTCTCTGGATTGGCCCCGAATCTTGCTCTTCCCTGTGTCCTGTCCCCCAGCGAGGTGCTCCTGGTGCTCTGATACACACCCATCCATGCTCACCAAGAGCCTGCCATTCCTCTACACTGTACCCTACACTGCCCACTGTCCCATCCCTCTGGTAGAGTGTGGATCCAACAATCCTACAATCTTTGGGGAACTTCTTAGAGCTACTTTGAGCACACTAGACCTGTCTATCCACGTGGGACCACCCTGAATATCTGCGGGCCTGACCTCTTACTCCTACCACAGGTCCTCTGCTGGAGATCCTGGCTCCTCCCAGAGATCTGACTATCCCGTGGGGACCATCCTGAGTCCCTGCCTGCTGGATCTTTGACACCCATCACTGGGCCTCTGCTGAAGCCTGATATTTGACCCCCATCGCCAGGCCCATGCCTGAGGAGAGACCTCCTAGAGAGCTTGGACCACCCAGAGCTACAGACATTGAATTTCTGACCCACCCAAGCCCACCGGGAGAGTACCAGAGTGATGGGAAATGCCATTCTGTATATGTTTCTCATACTGGTTAATGAATAAAGCACTGTTGGCCAATAGGAAAGCAAGATAGGCGGGACTAGGAGACAAGGAGGAAAGAGGAAGTAGTAAGAAGAGTCAGGATGGAGAGCCTGGAGAGAACAGATCCGCCATTCCTCTGCTCTCGGTAAGACCACGTGGAAATACATAGAAATGGGTTAATAATTAAGATAGAGCTAGCTGATAAGAAACTAGCACCTGGTCAATAGCATTGTATCAAATACAGAGTCTCAGTGCATTATTTGGGGCTGGTGCGGCAGCGGGACAAGACCAGGCGGCGGGCAGAAAAACCGTACTTCTTACACCATATATATATATATATATATATATATATATATATATATATATAGAGAGAGAGAGAGAGAGAGAGAGAGAGAGAGAGACCCCACCTGCAGCTACTGGAAGAAGTGATGGGAAGACAGCAATACAAGAAACCACCTAAAGATAGAAAGACAATCATGACACCACCAGAATCTAAGGATTCTACACCAACTAGAACTGAACACCCCAAGGCAAATGAAGCAGAAGAGAATAACTTAAAATATATCTTCATAAAAATGATAGAGGCCAGAGGCCCTCAAAGATAATATCAGAAAATCCCTCAAAGTAATGGAAGAAAAATAAAACAAAAAATTGGAAAAAAATGAACAAATAAATATCTTAAAGAAAGTATGGAAAGCCAAGAAAAAAAAAAAAAAACAATTAAACAGGTGAAGGAAACGGTTCAACACT